AACCTAATTGCATCTAGTTACTTGAAAAGACGACAGCCCAAAGTCGAAGGACTAAATTGATACTAAACGACGAAAGCGCCGCGTCGAGCGATTAGCGGCCGCTTCAAGTCGGCACAAATTGGCGCGACTAAAGAGTGACGGTCCGCGGAAGACAATCGGAGGAGCGGATTAGGCGTGCGGGGTGGGCCCCCCGTGCCCCCGGGCGGCGGCGGCGCCGGCGCGAAGCCGCTCGCACTGGCGCTCGCGGAGCCGCAAACGCGCCAGCGACCTGAGATGCGCGGCGAGGGACCTCGAGATGGGCGTCTACCAGGAGCACTGCAGCTACAAGTACAAGTACGACCACGGATACGACTACCGGCACCTTGATCAGGGCTTCACCACGTGCCAGCATTGCGGCGGATATAAGGTGAGTCTCCCAATCCGACAGCGGGAAATTTCTCACACGCAACGGGGATTTTGGGAAACTCTCGCCCCCTCAAAAAATAGTACCTCTTCCTACAAATGGAGATGTTGCATGTGTGAGGGATTTGCGATTTAACTGTTGATTCTTATGTAAAAGTTTGCGAGAAACACGATGGTGCCACTGGTTTTCTCTGAAATCAACTCCCAAGCTCAAAAAAAGCTCTCAACTGGAGGCCAAAGTGGAGGGGATATCCCACGCTACCCTGAAAGTCCACCTCTTCATCAAGACAAACTCTCCATGCAAAGAAAGGGAGCAAATACATTGACAGGGCTGCCACTTTATTTGGAGACTCCAAAACTGAAAACACGGCAACCTTGCTAATGTATTTGCTCCCTATCTTTGCATGGAGAGATTGTCTTGATGTAGAGGTGGACTCTCAGGGTAGAGAGGGACATCCCCTCCATTTTGGCCTCAACTTGAGAGCTTTTTTTAGCTTGGGAGTTGATTTCAGAGAAAACCAGTGGCACCATCGTGTTTCTCGCGAACTTTTACATACGAATCAACAGTCAAATCGCAAATTCCTCACACATGCAACATCTTTATTTGGGAAACTCTCGCCTCCTCAAAAAATAGTACCTCTTCGTACAAATTTGTACCTTCTGCACGGAGAAGAAACTTCGTGCAGAACCAAGCCACATCAGCTATTGCCAAATTTAACCGGGCAGTTCAATTTTTTTACAAGAGAACGTTTGTGTGGACTCCTTTGAACATTGTAAGGAATTTACTCCGTACTATGCGGCAAATTCACTGAAATTTGCACACAAATCCGTACAACCGTCTTTGATAAAACATTAAATTTTCTAATTGAATTCGGCAGTAGCTGATGTGGCTTGGTTCCTTTCTGCTTAACGCGGTCAAACTGTACTGTACAAGGTCCACTGATAACCAGGGCCAAAACTTCTTTCGCTTCGGATAAAAATATTGTTTTGCATGCCTTGTTTCTTTCGTTTTTGTAGCACATCGCCTTTTAAACTAAAGTCAACTCGAGTGATTGTTGAAAGGTGCAAAAACTGGAGTAAGAAAAATATCTTTTCAATAGTCCTCATTTTAGGAAAGCTGCTTTTTCTGTGGTATCTTCAGGTAATTTTCCGCAAAGTCAAATGAAATAATTCCCAAAATGAGTGTTTTCAGGTAAATCGTTAAGTATAGACATACATTTTTATCAAGAGGTGGCAATCATGGAACACGTAATATTTCTCTTCTTTTTCTGTTCTCTCAACTACGATGAAGGTTAAGGATAGGTACCCACGAAAAAAAGGGATCGAAAAGCTTAAAGCTCAGCTCCTACGAAATGAGGAAGTGCTAATGCCCTTATTATAACACAGTTGGAAATCCAGGAACGAAATCAGGAGCGCATTTCACTCTCATGGTGATAGGTCAAAATGTCCAAAAACAAATGTCCAGAGTAAAAAAATGTCCATTAAAAGAAAGTCCATGAGTAAAAAATGTCCAAGTACCTAGAAGTCCAGTGGCGGTGTCATCGCCAAAATTAAAAATGCCCAAAATTTCCGGTTACTGTGGTTCATAATTAATACATCACCCCAATGGATATTGATGTAGAAAGCTTCCAGGATTCTTAAGTTGCCACTCACTGGAAAAAAAACACATTGGATCTAGAGTCCAGACTCTTAAAAACATCGACAAGAATAAATACTCTTGATTTAATCGGATTTTCGCTTAAATGAAGAACCAAGCCTCTCAATTTGAGCGGGTTTCCCTTTGATTTAAGCAAAAATCCTATTGAATCAAGAGTATTTCTTCTTGTCAATGTTTTCAAGAGTCTGGACTCAAGATCCAATGTGTTTTTTTCCAGTGCTGAGTCAAATTATTTCACATTTGGACATTTTTGTTTTTGGCCATAACGCCGCTTTTGGACATTCCATATTTTTGGACATGTTTTAGATAGGGACTTTTTTTACTTTGGACATTTATCTTTGGACATTTTGTCCTATTACCCACTCTCATACTTACTTTACAAAACCCCTTTACAAAATTGTTCGATCCAACTTTACGAATAAAAGCTCGCCCCTAAAATTCGCTTCCAGGGATGGCCACTCATGATTACTCACCACAGTACTTTAGGCCACCCTTTCAGGCGAAAAATCACCGAGAATATCTCTCGTACATCGGTAGTTTCCCGCAACAACATACAGCCATCATCTTTGTTCAACCATCTCAACTCTCCACTAAAACTCACCTTTCGGCATGATGCTCTTCGCAATCTCCAGCGGGAAATTGGATTCGATGAAAGTCTCAATCTTATCGCAGGCGGTGATGATCTTCAGAAAATTCGGATCATGCGACGCGTTCTTCCTCCTGATGACTCGAATATACCTCTTGAAGACGTCGCAAACAGTTTGCAGGTCTCGCGTTGATTCCATCATCAGTCGACAAGCCTCGCTCTTTGTTATCTTCACATTCCTGACGAAGACATCCGGGTTGCGGAAGCAGAGCGTCAAGGTCGCGATTGCCATGCACTGCGGAATGGCGCAGAAGTTGAAGGCGCTCTGCTCCTGGACGCCCGTCAGGTAGGAGAGACACTCGGGGACGTGCTCCAAGGCGTCGAGCACCATCTCGGAGCCGCAGTTGAGGGCCGCCAGCCGGTGCTCCGGGTCCAGGAGGTCCTCGAAGTCGTGGACGTACTTGGACCAGACGGCGCGCGGCCAGAAGCGCCGCCCATCATCGGCGTCCTCCTTGATGTCCCGGATGATGTTGGTCTTCTGGAGGAAGAGCCCCATGGACACCTGGAGGCGGCGTCCGTCCTGGAGCGCGGGCGGCGGGCGGTAGAACTTGGCCTCGAGGAACATGTCGGTGAGGCCCTCGCCGACGACCCCGGCGGCGTAGTAGCAGTACTCGTCGTAGTCGTCGCGGGTGTCGATGCCCGGGCCGTCGCTCTCGGCGCGGAGGCAGTAGTCGGCCATGGCGTGGCCCATCCGGCGGATGATGTCCCTGATGATGTCCTTGTAGACCGGCTTCTGGAGCTTGAACTCCTGGATGACGCAGTCGAAGTCGAGGAGGAGGGCGCGGTCCTTCTCCTGGGGTCGGTTCTCGGTGAAGTGCCAGCCGTCGGTCTCGAGGTTCGAGTGGAAGTCGCGGAGGGTGAGCTCTTTCTTTTTGGCCGGGATGGAGGTGTCGTCTTCGATGGTGTCGAGGCCGCGGGCGATGAGGTAGAAGAGGCAGATGGGCATGCGCAACTCCGGGTGCAGCTCCTGGATGAGCGTGCTGAAACTCCGGCTCGTTTTCTCTAGATACGCGAAGCACTTCTTGACGTTCGGCGTCTCTCGCGTCTCATCCCGACGGTAAAGGGGCCTGTACGTCATCTGCCATTGCAGGATCCATCGGAGCTCGTCAGGATGTAGCAAGTAATGAATGGCGTCAGATAAAGGAGGCATAGGAACTGTGAAACCTGCAACGTTCAACGTATTACTGCGTTACCTTGATTGAATTCACCAAGAAATTTTGCATTTCACAATAAGACAGTTTTGAAGTTAATTTAATTACCAGTGGTGCAAATGGAGATGTTGCACGTGTGAGGAATTTGCGATTTGACTGTTGATTCTTATGTAGAAGTTCCCGAGAAACACGATGTGGCCATTGGTTTTCTCTGAAATTAACTCTCAAGCTCAAAAAAAGCTCTCAAGTTGAACCCAAAATGGAGGGAATATTCCACGCTATCCTGAGATTCCACCTCTACATCAAGACAAACTCTCCATGCAAAGATAGGGAGCAAATACATTAGCAGGGTTGCCGTGTTTTCAGTTTTGGAGTCCCTAAATAAAGTGGCAGCCCTATCAATGTATTTACTCCCTATCTTTGCAATATATTGCACAAAGCAAAGAGCAAATACATTGACAGGGCTGCCACTTTACTTGGGGACTCTAAAACTGAAAACACGGCAACCCTGCTAATTCATTTGCTCCCTATCTTTGCATGGAGAGTTTATTTTGTTTGATGTAGCGGTGGATTCTCAGGATAGCGTGGGATATCTCCTCCATTTTGGCCTCAACTTGGGAGCTATTATTGAGTTTGAGAGTTGATTTCAGAGAAAACCAGTGGCACCGTCGTGTTTCTCGCGAACTTTTGCATAAGAATCAACAGTCAAATCGCAAATTCCTCACACGTGCAACATCTCCATTGAGAGGTAAATGGGGAGGAGTAGACAGGGAATATCCTTCCATGTATATTTGAGTTTCAACTACTTTTGGGTTCAATATCAAATATTTCGTACAATGTTTCCTAATACTTGGAAGTTTCGTCCAGCTATTTCTAGTAAGTGTAACCTCTACCTAAAACTTTTTGCCCCCACCCATCCCTTTCAGATTCAACTGAAATGACGCCCCTATATTTGGCTCACATATTTGGTAAGGGATCGTTGAAGCAAGCTGCTAATTAAGAAGGAAAAGCTGCAGTAGTTCAGTTCACTCTCCCGCTTCAAAATCAAAAAGTTCAAATTTTTTAGCGGTAGGTATACTTTTTGGATACAATCTGTCAAAGCACTAAAGCAAGAGCATGTGGGGAGGGGAGGGAGGTTGGTCTCCTAATTTATCAATGTTAAAAGGGGTTCTGAGCTTGCTTCACGGTTGATAGTTTTCAAGGAAGATCCTTTCAAGCAAATTCTCTCATAGCCAATTTTTTCCTTTTTTAAAATAGAAAAATCAATTCGGAGTACAATACCTTCAGATAACGAAGAATTTATATCGGGTAAGCCGTCCTCCTTGTTGAGTCTTCCCTCAAAGATGGCAGAAAATATATCAGCTCAAGTGGGTAAAATATACCCTCCCTTTCTCACGGTTCACCTAGTCGGCCGTATCAACGCAAAGGTTCAGCTGAAGCGGGAGGGTGAGTAGCATCCATGAGAAGGCTCAAATCTAGAAACACGAATGAGATAGTTGTATAGTAACCTCAATAAGTTTAACTTGGTTAAAAGCCCGCTGTTCATTTTTTACGGTGCCATAAAAAAAGTTTATGGATCTGCTTGTCAAAAAAAACCCTGTATTCTACCCCCATACACTCTCTTTGTTTCATTCGTGCCGTCAACTCCATTCATGAGATTAACATTGAGGCCGGAATTTGGAAAACATGAAACTCGATTGCGATGTTGAACATCTCTACTGTTGTTTCATTTTTTTGAAAGAGAACGAATAAATAAGTTCGTTCCCAAAATGTCGTCTGTAGCATGAAAAATAATCAGTGAAAATTCCAGAAATGCGCATTACTTTTCCCCTGGCGAGTTAAATGTAGCGAGAAATCTGTAATGTCGCAAATTAAGATATGTTTTCTTTGACTTTCACTATTCATATGGGAGAACTTTTCGTCACGCTGTAATAGAGAATAGCTATGGTCAATTACTTTGCCCACAAGTAGAATCATTAGGAAAGAGTACCTACTGAGAAAATGAATAAAACAAAGGCTCAATATTCAGAAACACTGAATGAACGGAATGTTCTCTATCCATTTCTCTCTTCATTGCAGCTTAAAGGTCCTACCTTTGTAGTGGTCTCGTAGTTCTATTTTAACCAATTTTTTTTTTTTTTTTTTTTTTTTTTTTAATTTTTACTCTTTTGAAGTAGACAAATACCTAGTAAACTAATGGCCATTGCGCGTCCCTCTATTTTGAAAATATATTTACACATGTATAAAAAAGGAATGAAAAATATAAAACGAATCAATTAATCAACACTGTAATGGCGCGAACCAGAATCAACTAATTACATTTCACGTCACCCGATTTTCTTTATTTATGAACAGAATACCAATTATTATAACGCCTTGAAACTTTTAGGGAACTTCCGTAACATCGTCAAAAATATACTCACAATACACGTGAAAATTTTGCAGTGTGTACAGCTAAACAAGCAAAGAAACCAAAGGAAAGTAGACAATGCTCGATGTAGTCACGCTGATTCTTGTTCAATCCGTCCAATTAATGTTGATCACTAGAGAGTGTTTTCCTCTTTTGGGTTAACAACATTGTAAAATATGTCGGAATTTTTTTCCGCTAACGTGCGTTAAAAACTCAACATTAAGCTGAAATTCTCACTACAGAGAGAAAAACTCATCGGAGTACTGGTTTCCCTCAAAGAGATATGCTGTTTGGTGGAAAAAAATTCCAACATACTAACGACCCGTGCGTCCACCGCAATCAATTTGTGTAAAACAGATTGTAAAATACTAACATACGACAGTTTTCACAGTTCAAAAAAACTTGTTTAGCATCACAGTATCGCTCTCAACTCGAAAACCCGCCAATCAGGGAGCCGAAACAGGGGAGGATAATACACTTTCACACACCCAAAAATTCAACTTTTTATAACATATGAGAGAGAGGAAATTCGAGCCGAAAAAAAATTAAACTTGGAAAGTGGATTGACGAAATCGCGCAGCGTGTGCCAGCGCCAGCCAGTAGCCAGGTGGCGTTGAACAATGCCAAGTACCTAATGACCCACTATCAGGCCGAGTCAAAGTAGCAGAGGAAATATTGTAGCTTACTCTGCACCAAAGGTCGTGAACCTTTGAACGAATTTTTTCGGTGCTTCCGCGATCATGCGCTCGCACAGAGAGCTGATAATAGCTCGGTAATGGAGTCGGTTCGGTGATAAGGTTTTAGGACAATGCATGGGCCGATCTTCATAGGTTGGTCAACTTGGGGGCTCGTCTTTTCCACTACTGAATGGCGTACTCCCGGAAAATTACCGCTAGTGCCGTTTTTTCCAAAAATAAGTTCTATATACGGATTTTGCCAAAATAAGCCTAACTTCATTTCACGTTGCCGACTTTCCTAAATGGAGATGTTGCATGTGTGAGGAATTTGCGATTTGACTGGTGATTCTTATGTAAAAGTTCGCGAGAAACACGATGGTGCCACTGGTTTTCTCTGAAATCAACTCCCAAGCTCAAACAAAGCTCTCAAGTTGAGGCCAAAATGGAGGGGATATCCCACCCTACTGTGAGAGTCCACCTCTACATCAAAACAAACTCTCCAAGCAAAGATAGGGAGCAAATACATTGACAGGGCTGCCACTTTATTTGGAGACTCTAAAACTGAAGTCACGGCAACACTGCTAATGTATTTGCTCCCTATCTTTGCATGGAGAGTTTGTCTTGATGTAGATATGGACTCTCAGGATAACGTGGGTCATCCCCTCCATTTTGGCCTCAACTTGAGAACTTTTTTTAAGCTTGGGAGTTGATTTCAGAGAAAACCAGTGGCACCAGCCACTGGTTTTCCACTGTGCCATTGTGCCACAGTGGCACTGTTGTGTTGCCACTGTGTTTTTTGAAAATTTAAAACTGTGTAAGAATAATTGGAAAACTTACGACTTTTTAAAAATGTTTTGAAAATGTATGACTTCAAAGAATATTTTGAAATTACATATTGCTTTTCAATCGGGGACTAGCTCTGCTCTGAGCCTGGAAATACAACTAGCTTACTGTGCGTTTGTCCGCGTGGCGCTACTCATCAATGAAAATAGAATCAACAAAAAGGGGAATCAGACAATCAGAGTGCTGATAGCAGCAATTCTAATAGTCTTCGAAGTTTCCGATCATGCTCTACATTTATGACAAAAAACCGATCACTACATTGATGTGCCACCTTTTTTCTTCCTGATTTGTAACTGGCCACAAGAAAGTCCACTCCGTCTACTTTAATTCAAGGCATTTTCTGTAAATTTTTTCGACCTATGTTTAAAAATGAGCGATCTCACTTCCCAGTTTAGACCACTCTCTTAAACAGTCACATTTCTGTATNTTTAACGAGCTTTATTTCTGAAAATAACTAATTTTATCGTCAGATCAATTTTTGGCAAGTTACAGGTCATAATCCGGAAAAAGGCCTATTTTAGGCCATTTTTGCCAAATTTGGCAACTCTCCGGTCCGAATTTAATGAGGCAAAGTTGAAATTCGGATTCAGCGTCAAAAATTACGTAGGAATCACTGAAAGCATAACTACCCGGGATTTTTGCAAAAACCGCAAAAAAACGCATTTTTCGTTCATTTTTCGAAGTTCGGTGCCCGCCTGCGCGCTTAATTTTTCCTTGAGCAAAAAAGTGTATAGGAACTTGTTTATGGGAAATTTCACGAACTTTTTTTTTAAAACAACCAAATTGTCGTTAGATCAATTTTGGACAATTCACAGGCCATAACCCGCAAAAAATCAAATTTTCGCTCATTTTTCAAAGTTTAGAGCCCGCCAGCGCGCTTGATTTTGCCTTGAGCAAAAAAGTTTGTAGGAACTTTTTTATAGGAAATTTAACGAGCTTTATTTCTGAAAATAACTAATTTTATCGTCAGATCAATTTTTGGCAAGTTACAGGCCATGATCCGGAAAAAAGTCCGATTTTAGGCCATTTTTGTCAAATTTGGCAACTTTCCGGTCCGAATTTAATGGCGCAAAGTTGAAATTCGGATTCAGCGTCAAAAATTACATAGGAATCGATGAAAACATTGCTACCCGGGATTTTTGCAGGCTATAGCCCTTTTCATGGCTTATTTGCCTGGACTAATATGGACTCTCAGGATAACGTGGGTCATCCCCTCCATATTGGCCTCAACTTGAGAACTTTTTTTAAGCTTGGGAGTTGATTTCAGAGAAAACCAGTGGCACCATTGGTGCCACTGTGTATTTTGAAAATTTAAAACTGTGTAAGAATAATTGGAAAACTTACGACTTTTTAAAAATGTTTTGAAAATGTATGACTTCAAAGAATATTTTGAAATTACATATTGCTTTTCAATCGGGGACTAGCTCTGCTCTGAGCCTGGAAATACAACTAGCTTACTGTGCGTTTGTCCGCGTGGCGCTACCCATCAATGAAAATAGAATCAACAAAAAGGGGAATCAGACAATCAGAGTGCTGATAGCAGCAATTCTAATAGTCTTCGAAGTTTCCGATCATGCTCTACATTTATGACAAAAAACCGATCACTACATTGATGTGCCACCTTTTTTCTTCCTGATTTGTAACTGGCCACAAGAAAGTCCACTCCGTCTACTTTAATTCAAGGCATTTTCTGTAAATTTTTTCGACCTATGTTTAAAAATGAGCGATCTCACTTCCCAGTTTAGACCACTCTCTTAAACAGTCACATTTCTGTATCATTGGGGGGGGGGGGGGGGGGGGGG